GAGAGACATCTTTGGCTATTTCTAGGTCATTCCCTTCCTCATCACTATCTGCTTTTTCCCACATCCCATGTTTTGGGGTTCCATGATAAGCCTTGATTATTGATCCAATCTGGGCTTTCTTTCCTTTCTTGTACCCTAGCTGTAAAAAATGGCAAGCTAAAATCTCTATTTTTTTCCTCTTTTATGTAACTTACTGGCAAGGTCGGATACCAGTACCAATAAGGCCAGCCTCATATCCCTCTTGCTCTAATTCCTGTCTTTCACCCCCAGTTTCCCTCTGGGCTATGGCCTCCTTTAGAAAAGATTTCTTTTTACTAATAGTGGCAGCAAAGTGGTCTCTGCATCCACTTTCTGATATTTCCATTCCTGATGCACTATTCCCAAGGCAGGCAAAGTTTGTTCTAGACCTTCTGCTGTCCTCAGGACAGCTCTATACTCATGTATCAGATCCCACCAGTCAAGAAAGCATGCCACTCCATACCACCTACAAGATGGATACATCCTGGGATATCCTCCACTGACCTCATCTGTTTAGGTGGCTTCACCCTAGTTACACACCTCACTAACCACTGCATTATCAATGCCACTGCCACTACCTCCATTAGACCTATGAAGTTGTCCACCACATCAATATTTCTTCATCCCACATTCCCTCCTCACCCAAATTTCTGTTGGTCCTTGGTCTCTTTCCCCATATCAAAGACATCACCATTGATCTTCCCAAACCCATCTCAGTTTCATATCCTTCTGACTACACTAATTGTTGCTAAATATTTCTTGTGGGAGGGGCATGGTTTCCAGCACCCTCCTCCCACCATCCTTACAACAAACTGAAGCATAATTTCTTCAAACAGCAGTTTGAAGAACCAAATAGTTTATTGGACTCACATACAGATCAATAGATGAAGGGCTACTTATAAGAGTATGGGCATGCACTGGCTTCCTTCTACATTATGGCTAGGAACCTATGGCTTCTAGGTGGTGGCCCAAGGCGATGAAGGCCAATCTCTTTCTCTTTTGTTTACCCTGTCCCTATACTTAGTCCTGCCCCATAATATAGATGCTCTATTATGAATTGGGCCTTATGTTTAATTTGAAGGCGATTGATTATCTCCAAAATATCCATGCAATTGTTGCACCATGGGGATATTTTGCCAAGATAGATGCCATTGTAGTTTGCAGGGTTTGCAGCTAGGCAAGGTGAATGATTACCTTTCTCTGTCAGCAACATAGAGAGCACCCACAAGTACTTTGAAAATTATCCAACAAAGATTTAGCTTCAAGGTCAAGCATCTTGATTTTTCCTTGTTTGTCCTACTCAGAAAGCCAATATCTTAACAATAGGATGGTAGCATCCATCTCTGCTCGGCAGTCAACTGCAATGACAATAGCTTTTTGTTTGAGAATACATGGACTCTCTCTGTTCAACAACTCCAAAAGGGTCAATCCATTCCCTGCATTAGGCTTTTCATTTGTTAGTCTATTAAGGCCATAGAACACTGTTATAGTGTACCTAGCATTAAAATCATTTTATATTGGGTATGTCTATATTGAAAGAAGCTTCTATAATCAGTTTCCACCTGACCCTTTCAAAAGGCCTTCAGGGTTCATTATCCCACTTCTGTCCTACCCTTCCATTCCTTACACCATTAAAACCATCCTATTTATTACTGCTGTTTCACATTCATATTTCTGCATTTCTTGACATCCCATGAGCTACCTCACATGCCACGGTATTAGTGTCTGAGTCCTTAGGTGAATTCCTATTGGAACGCATTTATCTAACACTCAACAGGGAAGGTTTTTCTTCCACCAAATGATGATTAACACAGAAATCCACAAAGAGTCAATGTGGGGAAAATAAGAAATGTCTGAATGCTCAAAATTAAATAGGACACAATTTTCTACCTTATCTAAAGATTACAGGGAAATTGCAGAAGAGGAAACAGAAATATTGCAAAATTCAGAGATAGTAGATTAATACAAAAAATATGTGTTGTTTGGACACCACAGGGGAGGTGCACATAAGTACACACAGCTCTTTTGACAGCGTGCTGAAGGCTTGTGCATGACCGAGCCAAAGAGAGATCCAGCATGGATGTGGGAGCTGTAACTCTATTAACAACCGAAGGATGCTAAGAAAGGGACAGTGAGTTTTTGTTACTGGTGTGACACCAGATGGATGACCAGAATCCAGGGCATGGACCTACACCCAGGAACACTTAAGATAAATAAATTAGAATTGATAGACCTTTAAAAAATAAACATTAAATACATATATAAGTAAATAAATAAATAAAACACTAAATAATAATGGAGGACATGAAATTTTAGGGAGTTAGGAGGGGCTGGTTATGAGGAGAGGCTTCAAATGTGATGAAAGTGCACTGTGAAGTTCTGGAATCAAATTTTAAATACATGCATGTTTGTGTATATGTATAATATGTAAAATATTGTAGAATCCAGATCTGGTGGCACATAAGATAAAATTAGTCATGAGCTGGAGAGATGGCTCAGTGGTTAAGAGCACTGACTGCTTTTGTAGAGGACCTGGACAACTGTTTGTAACTCCAGTTCCAGGGCATCTGACTCCCTCTTCTGACTTCCATAGGCATTGTTTGACACGGGTGCACCTACCTACATGCAAGCAATACACTCATATGCATGAAATGAAAATGATGAATATAATATTCAAAAAAATAAAATTACCCACAAAACGCCTAAAAGCAGACAGAGAAGATACAAAGAGCTGTTTCTAGCTGAAATTCCAGAGAAGTCCAGAGAAAGTTCAGAAAACCAGAGAAGCCTGATTCTATTTTTAGCAGTCCTCAGTTTCCCAGACTCTGAAATACCAGGTAGTAAAGGTATTAAGTGCTTAGTAAGAGACTGGGGTTTCTCACTTAATAATGATTATAAAGTTACAAACATTAGTATAAATAGCAATCATGTAAGCAAACAGACATAGTAATGGTTAAAAATACTATGGCAGAGGGTGTTAGATTTAATTTAAGAAAACAGGAAACTTTATGCCATTAAAATGCGAATTTTGGATACAGAAACAAATATATTTTAGAACACATATATACAAACATTTGAAGCTATCAATATTCAGAAGTTACATATTTATACTCCAATATTGGGTGCTATTTTTGTGATTTATTTTCTTCTAGTTTTAGAGACTAAAATACATGTGGAGTGCTGTCTCACATAAGATTATTCAGAACCTTAATAGTTACTAATGTTAGGCAAATTTTACATGATGATCTGACATCTGTATACCTCTTTGATTAAAGTATATATTCATCTATTTTGAGTATTCATATTTTAAGTTGATTCTTCCTTTACTAAATTTGGAAAGACTTTGAATTTTGTGTGACATTTCTCTTGTTAGATTAGTGACTTGCAAATATTTTCCCAGGTTGAATTTTTATTCTTTTGAAAATGGCATATCAGAACATTTTATTTCAATTTTGATGAAAGTCATTTCTCCCATGATTTGTAAAGTATTGAAAGTATTTTCTCCCATGATTTGTACCTTGGATAGGCTATTTACAAACTCCATTTATTTTCAAATATTCTAGAACTTAACCTTGAAAATTTAAGTGTATGATAATTTTAGGTTTCTAAATTTTAGGTGTGTGTGTGTGTCTGTGTGTGTTTAAAAGTAAAAGAAAATTTCTTTTCACTGTAAAGGAGATGTACCAAGCTAAAACTTACTTTCATAATGCATGAATGAGTTTACAAAAATGGAAAATCGAGTAACATTTTCAATTAAATTGTTTAGCTTTGTATACCCTGAACATTAAATCCTTATTTTTGATAGTGCACACACACACACACACACACACACACACACACACACTCACACAGAGTCTGGAAAATAAACAAATTTACCAATTTTTTAAGTCTATAAGAAAGTAAGAACATTCAAAATTTCACTCAAAATTTAAAATTTGTGTATCAGAACTCTTGGGACAGCACTATACTCAGGAAGTGGTTATCCCTGCTTTCCTGAATTTAAGAAAATAAGACATCAATCCAAGCATTTCCAGCAGTCTTCGTGTTTTTCACAGTTGTCATTACCCCATTTGTTCTCATGTACCATGTGTCAAATTATAGTAACACATAAAACACTAAATAGAAATGGATATGATCAAACATTTATGTGAGTAAAATACATAAATGAAGTACATCATATTAAATGGATAAGGATGAAAATATACTGTTGATGGAAATATAATTACATACAGAGTACTAACTGCTACTGAATTATACACATGTGGACAAAAATACTAATAAAAAGGTGTGTGACTTGGCATTCCTTCAGTATTGCCATGAAAGTATTCTACATTGACACAGAGTCCATTAAATAAAGATACTCAATAGCTCCTCATGCTTTCAAACTGAAAATTAGGCAGGTTTCCTTAGAGGGTCCAGGAATCATAATTGATAATTCAGTCTTTCATTGCCTGACTCAAAAAACATTCATTTTCCATTATTACTGGTATCCACTTGTTATTATTGGTATCTACTGCTTACTACTGATATCTACTGTGGTATGTATTTCAGAATCAAGATTTTCAGAAAACACATATATGAAAGTTTTAGGTAAATAGTTATGTATTAATTTTAAAATATGCACATAAACTTTTAAATTCTGCCCATATATTTACAATGAAATGGTTAAGT